TGAAAAGTATTATTTATTATTTTGCAAATTTCTTTATTTTATACTATAAATAAAATAAAAAATATTAAAAATATTAACAATAATACAATACTTATAAATAATTAAAAACAATATTTAAAAGTCGTTTTATTATTATTATTATTATTATTACTTTAAATATTTTTTTTATTAATAATAATCATAATAATTAAACATAAATAATACTAGTTAAAATGTAATAATATTATTATTGCTTGTAATTAAAGTTAAGGGTTTGTTCCAATTTCTAATCTAAAGTATTAAACTTTGGCTCATCTCACACAGTTTATGTAGTGCTGTTCATAAAATGTGAAAAAGTATGTTTGTATTGTTTGCTAAATCATTACGGATGCTGTGCTGTTGTTGAATGGGTAGGACTACACCGCCACGATCTTCCTCCGGCAGCGCTGGACAGACGAGCGGCTCGTGTTTGAAGGCAATAAGAGCTTGAGTCTGGACGGGCGACTGGTGGAGCTGCTGTGGGTCCCAGACACCTTTATAGTGGACTCCAAGAAGTCCTTCCTCCACGACATCACCGTGGAGAACCGACTGATCCGGATCTTTCCCAACGGGACCGTTCTCTATGCACTCCGGTGAGGCTTATCTGGTCTGTAGCACAGATATAGCTGTGAATCTGAACGTTGAGCTCTCTTGATGTGTTAAAAAGTCTGATTTCAGTTAGTAATCTTTAGATTTTTATTTATTAATAATAATAAAAATGTATATATATATATACCTCTAATATATATATTAGAGGTCGACCAATATGGGTTTTTCACTTGCCGATGCCGATATTTAGAAATCAGGGTAGCCGATGGCCGATATTTGATGCCGATTTTTTGGCCGATATGTTTGGCCGATTTTCTTTTTTTTTTCCCCATTGATCTCATAAAAGGGAGTTTGAGTAAATGATTATTGCAGGGTACAAGATAGTAATAGTAGTAGTAGCCTAATTCAGAGTAATAATACATGGCTCAAAACATAAGCACCTTCTCAAAACAGTTCTGAAGCATGCTTTTTGTTTATGTTTGCTGACAGACACCAGTGTTTCCCCACAGACTGCAAATTAATTCTCTGCCAGCAGGAGGCGCTGCTGGAGCGGGAGATATAGCGGTTTCCCCGGTAACGGCTGTAATCAAATAAGCGCTGCGCTCACAAACGCTACTTTATCAGGCATTACAGGAAAGACAAAATGAAAATGACATCAAAGCTTTTCTGAAGACGGTCGGTTCTTTTCAAAGATATATTCATATAAAAACACAAGCGCTGCATTTTAATTCTGAAACGTGCAGTGCTCAGTTTATTCAAGGAAGTATAAGGGGCCATTCACGTATCGCGTTTCTTGCGTGCTCAAGTTCGTTATTTCAAATGTAGACGCGCGGCAGGCTCGCTCTTAATGAAAGCGACACAGACGCGCTAATTTTTTCCATCATTTCATCCAGATAAAAACTAGAGTTGCACCGATTGCAATTTTCTTGGCCGATTCCGATTTCCGATTTTTCGTTAGTGTGATCTGCCGATACCGATTTTCTTTCTAAGAACTGTAATTGACAGCATATACAAACAAAAATCTACTTTTCTTCAACGCAAAGTTTTATTTTCATAAAAAACACAAGTAAAAAGTCAGTAATAAAATAAGAACAAATAAAAAAAATAGCAAACAACAGCACAAATAAATGCAATAGAATAAAGAGAGCTATGAAACTAAGTTTTTCAGGTTAAGTAAGTTTTTATTCAGGTAAGAAATACTACAGAAATTAAAGTAATCAAATGTAAAATAACACATCCAGTGTTATTTTACATTTGATTACTTTAATTTCTGTAGTCTTCATTGTAAAAATTAAATACAGATTAATGCTTACCATTAAAGTTATCACTGGATGTGTTATTTTACATTTGATTACTTTAATTTCTGTAGTCTTCATTGTAAAAATTAAATACAGATTAATGCTTACCATTAAAGTTATAAAACGTATTCAGTCAAGAGCAGAAAATTATTTTCTTTGTCTTTTGTTCTTTGATTAACGTGACAGCATAAATATTGGACTGCGGTCCCTTTAAGAGTCCCTTTAATACTGTTACACAACATGCATTCTCTTTCTCAACTATTTAACGTTCCAAAACTGACTGTGTTTAACTGGATACTCGCTAAATCCGGCATTTTGACATAATTTTTTATGTATTTGAACGTTTTAGCGCATTTAGCCACTCATTTTGGTATTTGTGGCTCACAAGCTGTTTGAGACTGAGCGCAGATTGTGTGCTCCACTAATATAGATCAGCGAAACCTGCGGGAATTACTAAAATAATGCGCAATACAAGCACTATTTAACCGGAGCGAATGAGACATGTGTGAAAGAGAAGAGGTCATCGGAGAGAAGAGAGCGAGAATGCGCGGCTGACGTTATTGCCTGTGCCGCTGGTAACAAAACAAATCGGCTCGAAATCGGAAAGTAGATCACCGATTCGGGCTGATCATGAGGAAAATCGGCCGATTCGATCGGTGCATCTCTAATAAAAACATTTCAACTTTTCAGAATGTGACAAGAACCAGCCAATCAGCTTCATCCTTTCCCGTAACAACACTGAAAGCTCAGCCAAGATGAAGGAACAGCTGACCATAGCTGTACAGGATAGACATTTTTAAATAAATTTAGTAGCAGGGCTACTGCAAGCGATTTTTAGTGCTGCAAATCCATTTATCCTTTGCTGAAACTTCCGCGTCTTCATGAAGTGTGCAGGTCATGGTTGCTTAGCAACGGCAGACGCCTCTAGAGCGCAAGCGCCCGAACGCTTTGGGGAAAAAAGCAGAAAGCGGCGTTTTCCACGTGTTTTTAGGCGCGACATGTGAACGGCCCTTAAGCCTTTTGGAAAATCTATTTGTGGCGGTCAGTTTTGATATTGTGACGAGCCGCCATAAATAACTGAATGTATGGGAAACACTGGACACTGCTATAAGTCAAATGGCCATAGTGATAACAAAAATAAGAGTTCAGACATATTACACAACCTGCTGCTCATAACTGCTTAAGAGTGCGCTGGCCATGAGCGATGACATCGTGGAGGATATTGTCGGACCCACAAACACATTTAATGAGGAAAGTTAACGTGGGCATCAGCCCAGAAGTTTCGTCTGAATTGAATGTGTTTCTACTTTCACATGCAAATGACTTGTTGCTCTTATGAATATGATAACTTTCCGGAATCAACTCTAGTAGGGTAAAATGTAATTCCGCTTTCGAAACGGTCTGTTTTGCCCTGCCATCGTTAACAATAATAAATAACAAAATAAATAATTAGAAAATTATTATTAATTTGGTTATTTTAGCATTATTAATAATAATGATAATATAAATATATAAGTATAATTTGTTATTAGTAGTAGTAGTAGTAGTAGCATTGATAAATTCAAAATAAATAATAATTGTAAAAATATAATTATAATTAATAATAATAATAATAATAATAATAATAATAATAATACATTTAAAATAAATAAACAATTGAAAAAAAATTATATTTTAAAAACTTTAAAAATTATTTAATAATAACAATTATGATATATTTATTATTATTATTATTATTATTATTATTATTATTATTATTATTACATAGCCATATAGAATCAAAACATTTTGCCAAAATTGTGCAGCTCTATAAACAAGCACAGCAAACCTGGAAGTTTTTTAATCACTTGGTTTAAGGACATTTAGATATTTCTACTGGAAAACAAGCGTAAAATACTGATTACCAATGGGATGTTTTGCAGCCTGTGCCTCTTTACCATTCATTAAATATCAGAAGCGATGAGAACATGTCAGTGTTTATGAGTGTTTATGTTTTTCCTCTGTAGGATCACCACGACTGTGGCCTGTAACATGGATCTGACCAAATATCCCATGGACAAACAGACATGCACCTTACAACTGGAGAGCTGTAAGAAAACACACGCATTTCTAGCTTTTGCTTCCCCTGAGTGTTGCTCTGGCAACAAGATGACGTTTCTGTGCTCTTGTTTGTGACATCTGTACTCACACAATGTTCACGCTGTTTCATATTTTATAAGAAGATGTTGTGGTTGCACACAAATATGCCACATTACGCCTGTTTTCTTTCCATGCACTTGCATGCAATGCAGATCTCTTAAGATCATTTATATAAATAAATATTACAGACAGACAGAAATCAGTCCAAGATGTCTCCTGTCGTATTGCACTCCAAAAATGAAAAGATGAAATAAGGTTTCTTGATGCATTTTACATGCACAAACAGCAGGAACTTTAAGAGTTTTTTTGTTTTGCATTGTGACATTATTTTCATGACAGTTTTGCCTCAAATTTAAATTTTTGAACGTTTTCTAAAAAAAATTATTTGCATAATATGAACATAATGTGCAGTTATTTTGAATTATGGCCTTTCATCTAGACATTATATTCGCGTGCCATGCAGTGAAACACATAAACACAGAACCCGCTCCCTGCTGTTGTTTCTGCAGTGCAGCATATTGCATGTTTTAATTGCGAAGTCTTTCTCAATCGCGGTTTACTGTATGTTGTGAGACTGTCATAAACACTCCTCTCTCTCTTCCTCCGTCATGTGCCGAGATTACTGATCTGATTACTGTCACTCAGCGCCACCAAGAGGACACATACTGATATTACACACCAATACATGTGGCCATTTATCTGATATAGTCACCTACTCATCAAAATATTTGTACATTTGTAAATAAATATAAATTAATTAGACTGCATTCACCATTTCTTCGCAGTGTGTCCCATATCAGATCACTCCAGAACTGACTTGTGTGCATCAAATTATTTTCTCTTGTTCATAATTACATCATAAGCAATTTCATAATATTATTTAATCTGTTGTTGTTGTTTTTTTTACATGAAAGCACAAAAACATTGTACTTCTAGTCTTAGATGTTTGCTTTAGCATTAACATGTGAATTTTTGTTTTCACTGATCCAAGTAAATGTGAGAATTGATTAATATTTAAACAAATACACTAGTGTTCAAAAGTTTATTTTTATTTTTTTTTATTAATACTTTTAAATTGATCAAAAGTGTCAGCAAAGACATTTATAATGTCGCAAAAGATTCCTGTTTCAAATAAATGCTGTTCTTTTGAACTTTCTGTTCATCTGTGGATCCTGAAAAATAAAATGCATCACAGTTTCCACAAAAATATTGTGCAGCATAACTGTTTTCAACATTGATAATAATCAGAAATGTTTCTCGAGCAGCAAATCAGCATATTAGAATGATTTCTGAAGATCATGTGACACTGAAGACTGGAGTAATGATGCTGAAAATTCAGCTGCGCATCACAGGAATAAATTACATTTTACTATATATTCATATAGAAAACATTTCATTTAAATTCTAATAATATTTCACAATTTTTACTGTATTTTTGACCAATAAGTGCAGCCTTGGTGAGCAGAAGAGACTGATTTATTTCCCATGTCTGAATGTGGCCCAGACTGATAATGTCAGAATTGAGTGTGCTTGTGTTGATCTCTGTTTGTCTGTTCACAGGGGGTTATAACATCAATGACGTGATGTTTTACTGGGCGCGTGGGAACGACTCTGTGAGCGGTTTGGACACGCTGAAACTGGCTCAGTTCACCGTAGAAGATCATTACACCTCAGTGTCTGAGGCCGTATATGAGACAGGTACACAAGACCGCAAACACACCGCAGTCAACATCTAACGCCTGTGAAGCGGCTTATTAAAAGATACCTGATAATAAAACCTGTTTCATCAGAAATGGCACTGAAATTACTATGTTTATGGCAGATTGCTTTGTGAGTTCAGGAGTGACTCCGGAACAATAATTTTCTCTCGTATTTCAAAGTGACCATCATTCCTGTAATTTTAAGAGTGGGATACATACACACTGCAGCTAAATTTGGGTGTAAATTCACCTTTTAGTGCTTGATCCTGTTCTGTACACACAGTTCAGTAATTTACGGGAGTGACAAACGCATTTTACAATCGAATTGTCTCCTGAAAAATGCAGGTAGTGACAACCACATATACAGAAATTCTATGCAGTGTGTTCGGAAACCGAATTGAACAATAGTTGTTAATGACGTATTTAAACGCGTATCAGAGTTGCGTGTTTTCTGTATGTGCTGTGTAAGAAATCACAGGATATGTTTTGATTCATTAGTGTTGCCAGATCTTACTAGGAAAAAAAAAGACATCAAATAAGAACAGGCCCATAATAAACTAAAATCCAGATGCTTTATCTTGGAAATAAGTCACATGACAAAATATCGCGACCTGCAGCTGCCTATCTTATTAACTCTGTAAACTGGATCGCTTAATGAGCCAAGCCTGAACAACAAGCCCAAAGACAATTAATAAGCATCGCTTATAATAAGTGGACATGGCAACCCTTCAAGAGCACACTCTGCTAAGTAGCCTTCCAAACATAAAGGAAACATGACGCCTCTGTTGACGGTGGTTTAGTTAAAATCGACAAACATAATGAGTCTTTGGTCGCTGTATTATCACTTCGGTTAAAATAGCAGATACCGAAAGCGTGAGATGGCAAAACGTTGCTATGGTGTCAATCATCGCAGTTTCGAGAGTAAATTCTGTTCCATACACACATGAAACTGTAATAATAATAATATGGTTGTCACTCCTGAAACCTTACAGTGTGTACGTAGCCATAAAAACCACTCCAATAACTCCTTATTTTTGATTTATTGATAGTCTTGAAGACTTTTTACTTGGACGCACAGCATCAATGTTTTATATCCCTATGAAAGGACTCTGATTCTCTTCCCAGGAAATTATCCCAAGCTGATCTTTCATTTCGAGCTGAAGAGGAGCATCCTGTACTTCATCCTGGAGACATACGTGCCGTCCAGCCTGCTGGTGGTTCTGTCCTGGGTCTCTTTCTGGATCAGCCAATCATCCGTCCCCGCTCGCATCTGCATAGGTACAGTAATGTGTTTCATTTCATTCTTAGGAAAAACAAAATATGTTGATTTAGTAACCACCCGAAAATTCCTAGCAACCAACACCTTGGTAACCATATAGTAACTATCCATAACATCCTAGCAGCCAACACCTTGGCAACCATATAGTAACTATCCATAACATCCTAGCAGCCAACACCTTGGCAACCATATAGTAACTATCCATAACATCCTAGCAGCCAACACCTTGGCAACCATATAGTAACTATCCATAACATCCTAGCAGCCAACACCTTGGCAACCATATAGTAACTATCCATAACATCCTAGCAGCCAACACCTTGGCAACCATATAGTAACTATCCATAACATCCTAGCAGCCAACACCTTGGCAACCATATAGTAACTATCCATAACATCCTAGCAGCCAACACCTTGGCAACCATATAGTAACTATCCATAACATCCTAGCAGCCAACACCTTGGCAACCATATAGTAACCAACTAGATCATCCTATCAACCAACACCTTGGCAACCATATAGTAACCATCCAGAACATCTTAGCAACCAACACCTTGGCAACCACATAGTAACCACCTAGAACATCCTAGCAACCAACACCTTGGCAACCATATAGTAACCAACTAGATCATCCTATCAACCAACACCTTGGCAACCATATAGTAACTATCCATAACATCCTAGCAGCCAACACCGTGGCAACCATATAGTAACCATCCATAACCAACACCTTGGCAACCATATAGTAACTATCCCAAACATCCTAGCAGCCAACACCTTGGTAACCATATAGTAACTATCCATAACATCCTAGCAGCCAACACCTTGGCAACCATATAGTAACCAACTAGATCATACTATCAACCAACACCTTGGCAACCATATAGTAACCATCCAGAACATCTTAGCAACCAACACCTTGGCAACCACATAGTAACCAACCAGAACATCCTAACAACCAACACATTGGCAACCACATAGTAACCACCTAGAACATCCTAGCAACCAACACCTTGGCGACCATATAGTAACTGTCCATAACATCCTAGCAACCAACACCTTGACAACCATATTGTAACCACCCTGAACATCCTAGTAACCAACACCTTGGTAACCATATAGTAACTATCCATAACATCCTAGCGCAACCAACATCTTAGCAACCACATAGTACCAACCCAGAACATCCTAGCAACAACTCAGAACACCTTAGCAACCACATAGTAACCACCTAGAACATCCTAGCAACCAACACCTTGGCGACCATATAGTAACTGTCCATAACATCCTAGCAACCAACACCTTGACAACCATATTGTAACCACCCTGAACATCCTAGTAACCAACACCTTGGTAACCATATAGTAACTACCCAGAACATCCTAGCAACCAACACCTTGGCAACCATATAGTAACCACCCAGAACATCCTAGCAACCAACACCTTGGTAACCATATAGTAACCACCCAGAACATCCTAGCAACAAACACCTTGGCAATCACATAGCAATAACCTAGAACATCCTAGCAACCAACACCTTGGCAACCATATAGTAACTGTCCATAACATCTTAGCAGTCAACACCTTGGCAACCATATAGTAACCAACTAGATCATCCTATCAACCAACACCTTGGCAACCATATAGTAACCATCCAGAACATCTTAGCAACCAACACCTTGGCAACCACATAGTAACCAACCAGAACATCCTAACAACCAACACATTGGCAACCACATAGTAACCACCTAGAACATCCTAGCAACCAACACCTTGGTAACCATAAAGTAACTATCCATAGCATCCTAGTAACAAACACCTTGGCAACCACATAGTAACCAACACCTTGACAATCACTTAGTAATCACCTAGAACATCCTAGCAACCAACACCTTGGCAACCATATAGTAACTATCCATAACATCCTAGCAACCAACACCTTGGCAACCACATAGTAACCTCCCAGATCATCCTAGCAACCAACACCTTGGCAACCACATAGTAACCAACACTTTGGCAATCACATAGTAACCACCTACAACATCCTAGCAACCAACACCTTAGCAACCATATAGTAACCATCTAGAACATCTTAGCAACCACAATCTTGGCAACCACATAGTAACCACCCAGAACATCCTAGCAACCAACACCTTCACAGCCATATAGTAACCCCCCAGAACATCCTAGCAACCACATAGAAACCACCCAGAACATCATATCAACCACATAGTAACAATCCATAACATTTTAGAAACTACACAGAAACCTCCAAAAACCACAACTACATGGCAACCACCAAAAACACCTTAGGAACCACATAGAAACCACCCATTACATCATAGCAACCACATAGCAAGAACACATTCAAAACTACATAGCAACCACCAAGAACATCCTAGCAACTACATAGCAACCACCAAGAACACCTTGGCAACTACATAGTAACCATTCATAACTTCCAAGCAACAACCCAGAACACCTTATCAACCACCCATAAACATCCTAACAACCACATAGCAACCAACAAAAACACATTAGCAACCGTATACATGGTAAACATTTTATTAATTTTTTTTTAGTTGTAAATGAAACAAAGATTATTGGAGTCGGCTTTAAAAGAAAATACTATTTCAGGCTTTCTACTTCAAAATTTCTAGTTCATCAAATTCAATGTTCTACTTGTCAGTTCTTTGTAAAAATGTAGTAACAATTTCAGAGTGAAAATGGTTTCATAGTAAATCTACACCATTTTTTTCAGTGTAGTAACTAACTACACAGAACATCCTAACAACCAATATAATAACTGCAGAAGCTGATTTCCTTGTGACAGTTTAGAGCTGGGCAAATGAGTGTTTCAGCTGAGCATGTGTGTTATTGGTACATGTTAAAGGTGTTACGACCGTCCTGACAATGACCACGCTGATGATGGGCGCGCGGACGTCTCTGCCCAATGCCAACTGTTTCATCAAGGCCATCGATGTGTACCTGGGCATCTGCTTCAGCTTCATCTTTGGAGCGCTGATAGAGTATGCCGTGGCCCACTTCTGCACGCTACAGCATCCCGACTACAAGAACGCACTCATGGTAAGACAGGATCATCATCATCATCATAGTGTTCATCATCATCTGTGCTGTTTTCTAAGGTAAGCATCATTATTATTGCCCATACTGTACTTTGAATCTTAAAGGGATAGTTCACCCAAAAATTAAAATTTACTCACCCTCAGGCCATGCAAGATGTAGGTGACGTTTTTTATAGTAGAACAGTAAAAAAGATGTTTAGCTGAAACCGTGGTTGGTGATTCATAAAATGCAACTCACCAGCTGCCCGTCTTTGAGAATAAAAAAAGCATATCAAGGAACGCAAAGTTAATCCCAGTGTCTCCTGACGATATATTGAGGTTTTATGAAGCGAAACAATTGGTCTGTGCAAGAAACTGAACATTATTTACAACATTATTACCTGTAATCCAGAGCCTCAGGCAAATGGGAAAATATGATTCTTTTCTGCGAACTGGTCCTTTTGGACAGTTCGTTTCAATGAACTGGTTAATTTCACTAGTTCGTTTATGTAATTATGCAATGATGTAACGTATACTCAATTATATTATTAAAGCACCCAATAATGATGTGAAGTGTAGATGTTTTACTTGTCTAAAGCATATAAAGTAAATAAACTTGTCTTCATCAGCTCATCTTTTAACATAAAGAGAAAATTCAAAAACTTTAATTTCGCCCCTTCATTCGAGTGCTGGGTTCACGCATGTGCATATCAGCGGCTCATCAGTCTTTGGTCTGAGTCGAAACTGTTTCCTCAGTTCAGTGACTGTTGGAGGAACTGGAGCGCTGAATGATTCATTCATCACAGGATCAGATACACTGCTATTTCGGCTCATTTCCAGTTGGAGTGAGTGTCAGGCTTCTGAAAGTGAGTTTTAATTGAATAACTTGAGCCGTGAACTGTTTCAGATGGTTCAGTCGGATTTGATGAACTGGTTCAAGTAGGTCACAAAAACAAAAAAAAAAAAACGGTTCAAAAGAATGATTCGTTCGAGAACCGGACATCACTTTGCCTGAGGCTCTGGATTACAGGCGATAATGTTGTAAATAATATTAAGTTTCTTGCACAGACCGATCATTTAGCTTCATAAGACCTCAATATATTGTCAGGAGCCATGGCTATTAATTTTGTGTTAATTCTATTCTCAAAGATGGACAGCCACTAACTTGCATTTACTGAATCACCAAGGACCACAGTTTCAGCTAAAAATCGTCTTTACTGTTCTGCTGAAGAAAAAAAGTCACTTACATCTTGGATGGCCTGAGGGAGAGAAAATTAACAGCAAATTTTCATTAAAGTCCCTTTACAAACATTCATAATTTCATAATAAAATGTAAATTATAGGCATTATTGTTATTGTCATCGTCATCATCATCATCACTGTAATCGTTTATTGTTCATCTCAACATACTTATAGTCTTATTAAATTTCATGTTAAATTTCATTGCTCATTTTATCTCGTCTCCGTGTTTTCTCTGTTAGTACGGTCATCACATGCACGAGTGCGAGGAGATGAACGGCATCGTCACCACCATCGCCAGCAATTCTTCACGGCTAAAGCGGCGCAAAGACGCTCCAGCACCCGCGCCCACCGCCGCCGGAGAGCCTGGCCTCACACCCTCCAGCCCGACCGCCAGTGAACCCAAGACCGCCGAGGTCCCGTCGGAGCTCTTTAGCCGCTGTGCCAAAAACATCTCCGTCCTGAGAAAGATCCTGAGATCCATCAACTGCTGTCATGTGGAAAACCCACATTATATAGACAACTACTCGCGGTTAACCTTCCCACTGTCGTTCATCATCGTTAATCTGCTCTACTGGACCTACTACCTGTACTTTTAACCAGCGCATCGTGTTGAATCATTTCTGTGTGTTAGTAAGTACTACAGTGTGTGCGTGTGTGTCTGAAAGACCAGCAGAGACTCAACAGAGAAGGAGAATAATTAGGGTTGCACCGATACTACATTTCTTAGCAGATACCAATAGTTGATTATACAGAATGATGTTTGCCGTTACGATAGCTGATTATTCAGAATGAAATTTGCTGATACCGGTAATAGATAATTTAGAATGATATCTCTCAGTACTGATTATTCAGAATGATGTCTGCAGATACCGATAGCCGATTATTCAGAATGAGATCTGCTGATACTAATATCCGATTATATAGAATGATATCTGCCGATACCAATAGTCAATTATTCCCGAATTATATCTGCCAATACCGATTATTCAGAATGATTTCTGCCGATACCGATTATTCAGAATGAGATCTGCTGATACTAATATCCAATTATATAGAATGATATCTGCCGATACCAATAGCCGATTATTCAGAATGGTATCTGCCAATACCGATACAAATACTGATAGGCAATTATTCAGAATGATATCTGCTGATGCTGATACTAATATCCGATTATATAGAATATATAATATATAAAGAATATATGATATCTGCCGATAAAAATAGCCGATTATTCAGAATGATATCTGCCAATACCGATACAAATACTGATAGCCAATTATTCAGAATGATATCTGCCGATACTGATAGACGATTATTCAGAATGATATCTGTCGATACCAATAGTCAATTATTCAGAATGATATCTACCAATACCGATACAAATACTGATAGACAATTATACAGAATGATATCTGCCGATACCAGTAGTCAATTATTCAGAATGATATATGCCAATACGATTATTCAGAATGATTTCTGCCAATACCGATAGCTGATTATTCAGAATGATATCTGCCAATACCGATACAAATACTGATAGGCAATTATTCAGAATGATATCTGCCGATAACAATAGCTTATTATTCAGAATGATCTCTACCGATACTGATACCGACAGCCGATTATTCAGAATGATATCTGCCAATACCAATACAAATACTGATACCGACAGCCGATTATTCAGAATGATGCCAATACTATAGATCTATAATCAGCATTTGTGCTATAATCTCCATTACTACATTTACCATAGCACTTACAATGGCAGTAAACTGAGCAGCATTTAAAAGCCTAAATGCCAACTTTTTGAATTACTCAGTACATACCTGTGAGTCGCTTTTTCTGTATGGAAACTTCCATATGTTTATTTTTTAAAAGTTGGAGTATTTACCAGCGTTGATGTGCTACAGATGCTGTTGACAGAGATTAACTTGCATTGAACATAGTGAGGAGACGTGATCAGTATCCTTATTGTCCCATATATGAATCTCACTGATAGCGTCATCGTCAAGTTGGAAGTTTGTTGTGGCTGATGATGGCTATTCAACCCTGGACCTCCACAATGGTTCCCATGATTAAATCTTCTGAATAATTAAAGATAAACTGAGGAAAATGCATGTGAATTTTAGCATCAGATTACTGGAAACCTGATTTTGACTTCACATGTGGCTGAGGATGAGCAGACTAGATCTTAAAGGGGTCATATGATGTTGCTAAAAAGAACAGTCTCCACAACATGGCGGCAGCAACAACAATACTACAGCGAGAATAAAAGTTACGCCTTCTTTCTTTGCGTGAACATTTGGGCGGTGTTATGCAAATCTTCCCAGATAGTGACGTAGACATGTGGGGGCGTGTTAGAACGAGCCGTTTTAGGTAGGTGTGGCTGACTCTTAACTTTTATAAAGAATATCTCTTTGGATTTGAGACTTTAGTCTTTGCAACTTTACAGATCTTCTTTATGCACCAAGAGCTTGTAACACTCCAAAGAGAAAGGAAAAATTTAAATCGCATCATATGACCCCTTTAAAGTCAACATGAAATTGAAATTCAGTCAACTTTTCCATTGAAGTCATCTAGGCTGTAGACTGTTGGATAATGTTAATCTTAACCAGTAGTCAAGTATTTAGTTGTTGTTTTAGGCTGCTGTTCTAGCTAACGCAGCCTTTCTGATATATTTGTCATAATTAACATTTAATACTGGTAAATGTTAATATAATAGAGGTTACAGCAAAAATAGCAAATAATGATGGATTTGATAAAGAAGCCTCACGGCTGGTATACAAGGAGATCCTCTGGAGCAGAGTTTCTCAAACTAATACAGTAATTAATGCAATCATAAAAATGTCAAATAAAAATGGATAAATAATTTGAAAATAAAACAATAAATATAAAACACTTACTAGGAAATTAAATATTAGTTTACCTGCATGTCTTGTGACTATTAACCAACATCAGAGAACCATGAACATGCAAATGTGTTGTTAAATTATTGAAATATTAAATTATTAATAAATGTAATTAAATCTCAGGGGACTTCAAGCAGATAATTCATCTCAAAGAGGTTCAGCTGGAAAAAAAAATGGATGGAGGATGAATTTGACCTTCAACCTTCACCCTTCACATATGTTGACTTTAACATCCTCAATCACTGTAGGTTATATCACAGAAAAAATGGGGCGAATTTTAGTATTTGAACGTGTGTGAATGTGATTGTTGGAAACTGTCAGTGAATATGATTTATGTGGATTTGTGTGTGTTCATCATTATCGGCTGGGAGTTGTTAAAATGCTGAAAAATATTATCAAAAAGGGCCTAACAAGTTGATATCCTAAAGGTGTAGTTCGTTCAAAGAGGACAGCAATGTCGTTTACTCACCCTCACGTTCATTGAAAACCTCTGTGACTGTTCCAATCTCATTTGCGTTTGCGGTCAATTCAAATATGATGGCAGGTTTTACATAATCTGTGTGTCTCGTCCTTGATGTTTGGGCTGAAATAATTAGTCGATATTATTGACAATGTCGATCATAAAATATTTTTGTTGTCGAATAGTCGATTGATCTCATATGACCTAATGTAGGGGCCTGCAATAATGAGGTTTGACCTGTGTGACGCTGTAGCGCAAGACTGTAATTCAGCCCTCCCGCATGCAATCCAGTAGAAGTAAACACGCTTATTAGACATGCATAAGAAAGCCGAACCAGTAGAGTGTGGAAATGTTTTAAAAAAATAAAAAATAAAAATGCTGTCATGTGTAAAGGCCCTGATATACTGACAGCGAAGTTCTTTTGCATTCTTACTTGCAGTTTACTGTTTTTCTTGCTCGTTTCCTTTCAATAACAAAATAAACACAGCAAAAATGACAGCGGTGAGAAAGCAGCAGTTAAGAAAGCATCATATATAGTGCACGTTTGTTGTTGATTTGTCGCCTTTATTTATACAACACTTTATACAGTAGACTGTTTTAAAGCAAGCAACTTTACAGCATTAAACATGAAGAAACAGTGTGTGTCGCTTTCAGTTAGAAATACAACTTGATTTTCTACTATCATGCAGCTCTATATAAATATGTATAGAATATGTGCAATATAACTCAATATTTTAGCGAATTGCAAAAACGGAATAATCGATCAAAGCCTACTGATTAATCAGTGAAATACATGACGATTAGTTGATTAATCCTTCTAATAATCGTTAGATTAATCGATGATCAAAATAATTGTGTGTTGCAGCCCTACTTGACATCTAAACACAAGTGTGAACGAGGTTTGAGAGCTGTTGGAAACATGAGGGTCAGTAAATAGTGATTTTTAGGTGAACTATCCCTTTAAGCACAGCGACTGCTCTCCTTTAGTCTGTTTTTATTCACTTGTGTCCGTGTTTTCCACACTGTAATGCCTCTAACGTGTCTTCCTCGTGTGTCTGTGGTTTTCGAGTTTGAGTTACGGTGTTGAGGGCAGAAAGAAGCCATTGCTACCAGTTTATTGCTTCCATAAATCCTCCGGCCTCGGCCACTTTCTTGCACATTATCGATGGATTGCAGGGGCCATGTAAACTCTTTATATGACTTGGCTTTAATGATTCAGAGGTCTTTGTGGACTCTATACAGGACGGATACGGACCGGACCAAAGGCCATGGACTGCGTGTGGCGTCTGATGCTAAACTGTCTGGAAACATTGAATTTTTTGGGACGTGAATCTGTGCATTAAAGCTCTTGGATTCAGTGACAGCGGCCCGTACTGAACTGGATTGAACACTTTGGGTTATGGTTTTAAATATAATATTAAAACTGATGTATTTTATGAATGGATGAATTTTCCTCTCTGGACCTCGGTTAGGTTTTTAAAACTGTTTTTTATTTGGGATTGTTGATGCTCTCAAATAGATCTGCTATTTTTGTAACTTTGAATTGGCTTCATTTAGATGTTTTGAGCGTTTGCCTTCGTCATGCAGTCGGATCCTTAATTTCACGTCGAATGCCTTCCGTTCAAAGTTTAATACTACAAAGTGCTTGATTTTCCATTTAATGCATGTTTCTTTACCACTTTAGGGTAATATTCAGTGTAATAATACATTAATATTGATGTAAATTTGCATTTATGAGACTTCTTTGTGTTTATTCGTAGGTTGTTTTTAATTTGCCAAGTTGAGAATTTATGCAATAACTCGTCATTTACTGTATATGCATATCAGGCTTATTAATCATTAACTAAAACTAACACCATAAAAAATAAAAAAAAAATTCAGTAGGCCTACTTGAAATAAATGTTAACTGAAATTTTATATA